GTGTGTGTGTGTGTGTGCGTGTGTGTGTGTGCGTGTGTATATGTCTGTGATGGGTGTGTATGAGCATATGTGTGGGCGTATGCGTGAGAGTATGTGTATGATGATGATATAATTCAATTCACTATATTACAACATAAACCATCCATTCTTTTAATCTTTATTTCTTTTTACCCCTCATACATCCTTTTTCTCAGCTAAAATAGTTGTTTGCTCACTATTTTCTTCTGGATTTTCATTCTTATCCAAAATAATTCCAAAAATATGTGTAAACAATATTTTTGATATAATTTAAGCAAGAATTTATTTGGAATGATTTGAAAGATGAAAATGGAGAAGAAAGGAAAACTATATGATAATTTTATAGTACAAGATGATAAACTTTTACAATTACTATATTATACTATATGAATTACTATATTGAAGGATATACTAAAAAACTTTTTCATCATTACTTATACTAAAATAGCATTTAGGCAAAGTTTATTATTACAAAAGTCTGTTTAACCTAATTAAATTACGATAAACCAATTGTTAAATGGATTTTTTTTTTCTCCAGTAAATTAAGAATATTTAGAAATGTCTGCTATAATATTTAAAAATAAAATTCTCATCCTCCATACGACAGTTAGATGATGTTTTTCGTTTCCAAAAATCCTTTTCCTTTTTATTCCGTTTTTTTTTTCCTTCATTTAAATAATTTAACGCTTTCTTGCTTCTTTATTTGATTTGTCCGCTGATTACTAATAGGATTTTTATTTAACATTTATGGAATTTAATAATTAGTTGCCGTTGAAATATTATTTAGTACTTATTTCAAATTACCTATTTATTTACAATAATCCACGATAGATATGAAGTAAGGTGCAGAGAGAATTTACGGTATTAAATTTCAAATTTACTATCTAATAAGTAATATTTATATATCTCTATTTGTAATATTAGGTTGATCATATATTTCCATCTTTTAATAGTAACAATAGCATGGTAATATTCGATATAACTGCTTGATTCAAACGATCCTAAATATAGTACACAATAACATCATATAAAAAGGGATCATTTTAAAATGAATTCTTAAATTTCAAAGAAAAAAATGTACGTTGTGAAAAAAAAAGAAGGAGGAAAAGGTTATAATGATTGTGTAGAAAATTTCGAATAGTATCAATAAAAGAAGTGTATATATATAGGAAATAATGATAAAAAATATTGAAAATGATGGGTTGGAAGGGAAAGAGATGAGAACAATGAAAAAGAAACATTTGTCATTCAAATCGAAACACTTCAAAGGATGGAATACGAAAATGAAATTTCGTTTCCAAAATCCTTTTCGCACATGCAAAAACATTTACCACAAAGTTGAAAAAAAGCGCTGCATGAATTTGGATCAAAATGCATTAAATAGCTACAAGAATAGTGAAGCAAAATAATGGAAATCATTGAAAAAAGAATAAATTAATCAAAGAATTATTATTAGTTGCTATTAAATTGAATTTGTTTCTTTAAAAAAAAAAAAAAGAAATAAAAAACTAAATAAAAATAAAGCCTATCTTGTTATGTGTTATTAGGAAATAATATAAAAAAAAAAACAGGATATGAATAATTTTTTATTTTATTAAATTTTATTCACATTGTAATGAATGAATGAATCGAACTGTAAAATATGAATGTTTTACTGCATACTTTTCTGGTTACTTTTATAGCGGAAGTTTGATTCCGGAAATAATTGACATGATGTATGATCCCTATGATACCAACAAATTATCAGTGCGGTTAAAATGATGATGATGATGATGAAAGAATGAAGAGAAGAAGAAAGATGAATGTTTCCTGTTTCGAAGATGCTGGTCTATATTCTCATTTTAATTCATTGTATGAATGAAGGACCGAATTTCATTCCCGACATTTGAGATGGGGTTGAAACGAGAAGAAGCTGATAGTGCAGGGTGAACTAAGAACTCGTTCAAATTATTAAAAATGTTAAGAGATAGAAAAATTCGTTGAAATTAGTTAAATACTAACTTCACAGCATATTTATTTTCATTCATTAAAGATAACATTTTTAAAATTTTATTTATATTTATTAAAAGAAAGCGAAAAAAAAAAACAAATTTTACATCAGAAATGATGATTAATGTTAAACTGACATTTGAAGTTTAAAATTTCACCCATTAATATGAAATAAATGAAGCATATAATGATGTTTTATTGATTTATTCATCCATAATAAAGTTATAATTTAATAACAAAATTATTTCTTAATGATTGAAATCAAATATATTTTAATAAGAAGGAAAGAAAGAAGAAGGAGAAAGAGAAGGAGGAAAAAAAGCGAAAGAAAATTTCCTATCAATAAATATGTGTTAAAAAAACAATGTACATTTTTAACAGAACAATTAAAATATATAAGGAAGTCAGCTGGTGAACTTTAATTGATAAGAAATCTTAGCTCATATTTTATCAAATTTAAATTTCATATCATTTATATGAATATGCTTCATTTCGATATTTT